ACCCCAATTTAATAAAGCACAGTTACCAACTAATATTCCGCTGAGAGGCAAATTGAAAGCGACGTGTCTCCCGGAACAAAACATTCGCCACGAAACAAAACATTTTAAACGTTGTAATTGACGACTAAAGATGAATGAAAAACCTAACACGGAATGAATTCTTACAACGCTACAAAATAAAATAAATAATTACATACATTACCACTCTAAGATTGTGGACGTTCACCGGCATTATCCCATATTACATATAACAAGGAAATAAAGTGCACATTAAACTGTTAGTGTGTTCTAACAATAATGGACGGGGGGGGGGGGGGTGGGACGAGGTTCCATTGGATCCCACCCTTCAAAGTTGTTCAAATTCGATTGCTTCCTTGTACGATTAGAACGATTAGAGAGAGTACACTTGGAATAAATCACAACGCGTTATTACATTACATTAGGTAGCGACTCCTAAATTATAATGAGAAGATTCAAATTTATTGGAATTAGTAATCGGTGATTATTTCTTCCGTTTTAATATAAATGACAGCTATCATGTCAAACACAATTAATAGATTTCTTTTCAAACTTGATCTGACAAGAACCTCATTACATGCAAAGAAAGCGAAATGGAAAATTATTTTGGTTTAGCAATGAAAGAAAGAGGCTGAGGATATTATGGACATTTTCAACGGTAAGCTACTTTTTTTCACAGTTGTTGTGTTATTTAATTATGGTGAATCTTTTCACATTAAGATTAATCTATGAACCTGTTTCGTCTTGGTCTTTTAGAGTATTGTGCCCACGACATTTATACGATATTCATTCTATTATCTTCTATTACCTCAAGGTAAAACTGACTTTATTCTTTAAAATAGTAACGTAAAATATTGTTAAATTTTGCCAAAAAAATTTGGCAAATATAATCAAAGTACCATCCCTCTATATACAACATTCCATTAGCGGCAAACTCGCTTTCTTAATTTGGCTTCTTATATGTTATGCAAATAGGCAAACAAAAATAATGTTGAGTTGTCCTGTTCCGCACAAGTAGTTATATTTTAAAATATGAAAATTCCAGTCCTAGCTAAGAATTTTTACGAAAACTTTTACAGCGTAATTAAAATTTGAAAAAAAAAAAAAAAAACTAAAAAAGACGAGCCACTTTTGTCAGAACTATCCTGTAGACAAAACAAGTGGACAAAACATGTATCAATTTTTAGAGGAAGCGATTTATAATGCTATAATTTTGTGAGTTTGTGTTTATTCATAAGGGGAAGTTTCGCCCGCGGTGTCTATGTTTGTCCAGATGTCTTAAAAACTAGCGCGCGCTCTGATGAGAAAATCACAAATTTCTTTTAATGGCGCTATGTTCACTATGAGATGTTATCCAAAAAAGAAAAAGTAAATAAATAAATAAAGCTTGGCAACATCATTTCCTTTATAAATTTATAGTTTTTATCGCGTTGGGTGACAATGAATTTAAGTTAGTGTGCAGTTTTAAGCAAGTAGAGAGGGTAACTAGCTTTTACGATGATGCGGAGAGGCTTGAACATAAAACATGGTTTCGGTAACTGCCGAGTCAATATTTTGTTCCATGTGCCGTATAAGTAGCTTGTAGTAAGCCAATTAGCCTGTATCAGAATATGTACATTTTACTGCTTAAAGCAATTTTCGAAGTTTGGTGTAATATAAGAATGCTGAAGCCAATAAATTTGAGACAGCCCGTAACAACAGGCAACACGTAGCCAAACTGCCAGCTGCAAAGCCACAGTGTTTAGCTTTAGAGACCCTTTAGAAAAGTGCCGAAAATGAGTCCAGTTCAGTTTATATTTCCTTTTATCATGTTAAGAACTGCAATTATAGTTCTACATCAGCGTGAAAATTGGCTGGACTGGCAAGGGCATGAAATTCTAAAACGTTGTCATAATAATTAACGCTTTTTAAACCCTGAGAACAGTCGGCTAACAACACTAGCGAGGCGGTGGATGAAAAAGGGAGCTACGTGAACCGCTCGCACGGTGGTAGCTGTTTTTATATTTGCAAATTACCGCGTACTTTAGGCGCAAGACTCTTTTTGATAGAAGAGGTATTGCTAAAATAAACTGCCATCCACCTGTGTCCATTCAAAAATTTCTATTTTCTATTTTCTTTTTCCAAAGTTTCACCAAAGACGTTCAGTGGAATCAGACCAGGCGAGCTATCGCTATTCAAGAAGGTGTGTCCATATAGCCAGAAGCGGGCAGGAGTCGAATAGCGCCTAAAATTTCTCTGTCTATTTACATTAGAAAGGAATTATCTGACCGACGATTGTCAAGCTGTTTTTATATTTGCAAGTTACCGCGTACTTTAGGCACAAGACTCTTTTTGATCTAAGAAGTATTACTGAAATAAACTACCATCCACCTGTGTCCATTCAAAAATTTCTATTTTCAAACCAAAGTTTGACCAAAGGCGTTCAGTGGAATCGGACCAGGCGAGCTATTGCTGTTCAAGAAGGTGTGTCAATAGCCAAAGGCGGACAACAGTCGAATAGCGCCTACAATTTCTCTATCTACTTACTTTAGAAAGGAGAGTATTTGACCAACGAGTGTCTTTGATAATTGTATGAATTTTTTTAAGACTCGGTTTGATTTGACTACGTCCCATTTTTTTTCTATGTTTTGTTTTGCGCCCCGCAATAAGAGACAAAATGAACAATCAAATTGAGAATGTAGCGCATCAGTTGTTTCCAGACGAAGGTATTTTGTTCATCGAATATTAACGAATCATTCTGAAGACCACGATAAGCTTATTATATTTTGGGCAAATGTTTTCTGACCAACGGTCTATGTCAGCTTAAAATTAAAGTTGAAATTAATCAGCAGTTGTCAACACAAGGAGAAAATATAATTTACAAAGTTATTTAATGAAAGAAGACAGTGTAGAGAATGTTTAGGGATGCTCTCTAAAAGAGGGTGAGGCCGAGGTAAGCTTAATAACAAAACACAGCTGCTTAGAACCGCAAAGAAGGTAATGTTCTCTTAGTTTACTTTCGATGATCTTAAAAGACGTTAATTTTCTGTTTGCTGGTAAGCTATAGCAAAATAATGCTTAAGAAATTGGAAACTGTTTTTCAATTACAAAAAAGCAATAATTTTCTTTTTCAGGGTTTTTTGGCAGAAATAAAAGACACGATATCATGGGATGAGTCGCTGAGTGGGTAAAACACAAGCAGCCAATGGTATCGTTCGGTACAATAAATTCATGATGGTCTTCAACACGTTCGTACGAGAATTTGTTTTCCCTTACAACTCCCAGTGAGTAGTTGAGAAGAAATTGAAGCCAGGGCAAAAATTCATCAAGGTAGGCTTGTACATTTGTATTTTTGCCGATTTCTCTTCATTTTTAATGTCTTTGACATGGCATTTATTTCCGTCTTCCTCACTGCAGGTCTATTTTACTCAGGCAAGCCTGCCCAATACAAGTGTTATAAAGGCTTTATGCATTGTAAGTTGTCTCTCGATCCAACCTTATTACGTTAATTCCTCACTTAATTTGGTTAAAAAATATTTTGAATTTGCAAATCAAGGCGATTTTTTTGTGTGTTCTAACACTAATCAGTTGTTCCAGAACCAAGCCTAGACATCAATTTATTGTTGCCTCTTCGTTTTGCATCGAGAACTTATTAATAAATATTTGAAGTTTTGTAGCTCAGCCCTGTCGCTGCTGAAAAAAGTTACAGTTGTTTTAAAAGTTTTGCCTTCATTTCGAGATTTCAATTGAGTTTTCTCTTATCAGTTAACCGAAATTCAGTTATGTTATTTATTTAGCTGTTTACTCCGTCCCCTTCGAGCAAAATTCGAGTCGTGTTTAAGTGAAATGAAATATCCGTTAGCAAACTATAATGAGCGGGTAGCACAATTTTCTATAATGCGATCACGTTTGTCGCAATTAAGTAATATATATTGTGATTGCGATCAGCAGTTCAGTATATAATTCAGCGTGTCCAAAGAGAGAGGATTTTCTTTGATTTGGAAACTGAATACCAACTAAAACTGTGATTAGTAAACTCAGTCTTTAACTGTTCAGAAGTTACGCATAAACTAACTAACAAGGGTTGTTTTCTTATTTAGCTTGAAATCCTGACCTCTTCTAAACAAAGACATTTTTTAACGCGTTATACAATTGGTCAATCTGGAAGTGATTTATCCAATAAAAATTTTTGTCGTTTTTCATGTTTTTTACGTCACTGGTCCTAAACGTGTTTCAAACTTGCAACTTACCAAATTAAGCGAACGCCTTGATTGGTCAGCTCAGTGTGAGTTAACCAATAAGAACATTTTGCCTTGTTTGACATGTTATTTTTAACAAGCCTTTGAACGTGCTAAAAACATGTTTTTATGCTAAACGTGACTACAAAACAACATAAAAGATCGGCAATAGTAAGCTATTCATCATTTTTTGCGGACACCGGACTATTGCAGCCATACAAGCAAGGTTGGTATTTTAGTTGTCCTAGATTTACTGTTACTGCAAAGTAGCTAAAAATTAAGTTCTTAAAATACTTAATGTAATTTTCTAATTTGAAGTGATCCTTTCAGGTTGGATTATCAACTTTTCTCACTTGTGTTTGTTTTTCAACTGAAGATATTTTTAGAGGACTATTTTGTTATGACGTACATCTTTTCAGTTTATTATCGTCGTGTTTTCACGAACCACCTAAAATTGGTTGATCAAGAGATGATTATAATCGTATTGGTTCTTCTATATTTCTTAAACCTGAAAACAGTAGAATTGATTCCTGTAACCGGTCATCTGTTTGTTTTTTTTTGTGTTTTGTATTTGTTTGTTTTTTTTTTTTTGGAATTCGAAAGAGTAAGAATTCGATAAGTATAAAAGACTACTTGTCTATAGCTAGTAGTCTTCAGTTTTCCTAAAAGATAGTACAGCTTGCAAAATACGCCAATACACGTAAAAATATTGATTTTCCCTGGGAAGAATTAAAAATACTGTGTTTGTCGTGATTGTTAAACAATATGTTCATCCCACAGTTTGATACCCCAATCATGCTATTCTGTATGAAGATACCATCGGCCATTATGTTATGGATAGTACCGTTACTGCTGATCCCTTTGTGTCCTGCGAATAGTAATAACAGCAGCAACAAGGTGAGTTTGATTTGTGAAATTTCAGATGATCGGGACTTGATACCAGTGATTAATCGAGAAAGTTAATGGTCGATGATTGCATTATTCATTTGCTAGAAAAAAATGGTATAAAATGAAATGGAATCAATGAAAGTATGAGTCAGTATGATTGTCCTAACATCCGGCGTCGTTTTCAAATTTTATTTTTTGATATGTAGACATGTTTTATGCTTCACTTTTAATTATACATGTTAATGGTAGAATTTATAATTGAAATGGATAGTCCCCCAGTCAAATAATGTAAATACACAGGAAATGAATAGTTGAAAAATAATAAAATTATCATTAGTAGTTGAATTGTTGCTCAACTGAATGAACGAACGATGGACTTGATATATTTAAATGAGTGAGAGTTATGTGGTGTCAGCGGCCAAAAGTAGAGTCCTCCAAGCGTCTTTTGTTTCTGTACTTAGCTTATATCTGCTTTTATCTATCTATTATCATTATTAATTAATATTTACTGTCAATTATTTATTTACTTATATTTCAAAGTCTATTCATAGAACAGACATCCCAAGTGCATTAACTCAAAATGAAGGAATAATACATTGATTCTTTTTTTTTTTTTTCATGTCTGCCCTTAATTTCCTCAACAGAATTCCCAACATGGCTCTTGTGGTTACTCTCCGTGTTTCTGCGCACCGGGCATACCGGGTATCCCAGGAAGCCCGGGACCCGCGGGACCAGCTGGTACATCGGGATCACCCGGGAATAACGGACTCGAAGGACCTATGGGTCCACGAGGAGTCAAAGGCGATGAAGGACCCCGTGGAAAACAGGGACTTACAGGTCCCAAGGGAGGTACAGGGTCAACTGGTCCAGCAGGCCCACTCGGAAGCAAGGGTGATGCAGGTCCCCCTGGAAGTCAAGGTCCCCCTGGCCCCAAGGGACCACAAGGCCACTCGGGTCAAGCTGGAAAGAAGGGCGATACAGGTCCTCCTGGAAGTCAAGGTACCTCAGGCCCCAAGGGGGCTTCAGGGTCTTTTGCACGTAATTGGAAACAGTGCGTTTATAAACATATGAACGACGGCAGGGACTCTGGATTGATCAAGGTAAAAGCTAAGTTGGCCTCAGAATAAAAAGTTCGTCAGTACTTGGGTTTCATGTAATTTATTTTATTGAATTTCATTTGAAGATCTTGTTCGCAAATTTACCTGGATTAGAACCATTGGCCCTTGTGGCTCATTTCTTTAATTATTTATTTCCTTCACTTCCAAAAAATTCACATTTTTATCGAGTAAAATCTTGCAAATCAAATGATTTTACTTGGAAGCACTCCTCAGCAGTTTTGAATGGTAATACCAGGGGATTTTGTTCACAGATTAAAGTGTTAGTTTAACCCACCTTGTATCCTTTACCATACGAAAGCGTTGTTGAAGAGCTATAATTCAGTGCCGGATCCAGACGATTACTCTGGTAATCTTGAATTTGATTGCTATTTCCTTTCAACAGGAATGCATTTTCAAGAAGACTTCTGACAGCACAAGTCTGCGTGTCTACTGGAGTGGTCAGCTCTGCATCTGTAACTGCGACAACTGTTGTAAGCGATGGTATTTCACTTTTAACGGTGCAGAGTGCTCGGCTCCAGCAGCTATTGATGCTATAGTCTACATGAGATATGGAACTGGCAGCAGACTAAAAAATTTGCACCGCCCACGTCACGTCGAGGGAGTCTGCGATAAAATCCACAAAGGCACTGTGCGCGTGGGATTCTGGGTCGGCAACTGCTCAGGTTACGGTTCTGCTGATGCAGTCACAGGATGGATCTCGGTGTCCCGGATGTTCGTGGAAGAAATACCGCCCCCACAAGCTTAAGAAAAGCAGATTCAAATTTTTCATAAACTCAGGGTATTTCCTAAAAAGGTTTCTAGCTTTAAATGTAATTATAGTTAAATAACCTATTAAAAACGCTGCTATTGTAAGGTATGGTTTTAATATGCTAAACCAGCTGAAAACACATCCTCGTTCCCAGGGTTCTCTCCGTTCTCGGCCCTCAGAGCAAGAGAGAGAGAGAGAGAGGGAGAGGGGAGTGGAGAGAGAGTAGGCCGGAACAGGGTCTCTCTCTCTCTTGCTTTGAGGGTCGAGTACTGAGAGGACCCTGTGAATAGGGTTGCTGATACGAATCGCCTTAGAAACTAATAGGGTTTCTGTTTTTAACAAAGCACAGACAACGGTCTTCAGTTATCCAACAAACTGGAATCTAAATCTGAATATATAAATAAAAGTCACTTTTAATCTAAAGAACAGTGTGCTGTGTGACCAGACTCGAGAGTAATGTTACATAAGTTAAGAGGAGCCTTTACAAGTTGTCATTAGAATACTTCATTCTGATCCTAATCCTGGAGATTTTTATCAGGGGAGGGGGAGCTGGGGATCACTTCCCCCCTTTAAACAGTTTATAAAGCAATAATTTACATCTATACCCCACCTTTACATATTAGAGTTTACTAGGGAATATCAACCTCGTATTCCTTGCCATTTTATTAACCAATGTGCGCACACGTGAAACTGCATGCATACTTTTAAAGAACAAAACGCTGAAACATTTTCCTCCTGCGTTTAGTGATGTGTTTTGGTCCAGTTTTCTTAAATTGTAACAATCAATTTATTCACTAGGGATCTTTGAGGTTTAAAGGCAAGATTTTTCCGGCTACTGCTTAGAAAATGAGGTACAGAAAATTATGTTCACATTTAAGAGAGGGTGTACTAAAGAAGATTAAAGGTGTTTTTACACAAGGCGATTCGCAACGCCGAGTTTTAACACAGCGTTGCAACATTGTTGCGACATTGTTTCGAATCATTGCAACATTGTTCCACATTGCAACAGTATGTTGTCCCGTGTAACAGCATCTTAATGCAACAAAACTCTGTATGATTACTATCACAAAAAGGCGTATATTTCTTTTCTGTGACAACGAATAGTCCAACAATCATATTCATCTTATGATCAAAATCTGGCGAGATTAATTCTGTACGACAAAATTTCTAACTTTTAAGGAGTCTAAACAGCATTCAATTTTTAACATTACTCAGTAACAGAAAATGTTGGACACGAAGTTACTATTGAAGTGTAAATTAAACAAATCATGCTTTCTGAATTTGCCAATTTAGCGACAAATCATCTTCATTAAGGTTAAAAGTAAAATAAATAAAAACTACCTCTCCTCTGTCAGTTCTCTGATGATGATAAAAGTCAATTGAAAAAAAAAAAAAAAAAAAAAAAAAACATAAAACAGAGATATATTTTAAAACTATGATCTTGCGTAATTTGCATAAACAAGATCTTGATAATTAGAATTCCTATACAGACATTCAACTTTTAGGGCCTCAGGTACATGTAGGGAGGAAGATCCTAGCACCGGGAAGATCCTCGCAGGTCGATTATCCTCAATACTGGCCATTTGTTTTCTGTATTCAGCTTTATACTTGTCCCTAACGCGATGATCTAGGAGAAGAATCTTCCTAGCTGAGCGGATAGGAAGATGCTTGAATTAAGGGATCACTTCGATATCTAGAAGAAATTTGAAACAATGGTTTGGAAAACGTTTTTGTAGGGTAAACAAGGCATATTATGGGCAATCAAGAATTTTTTCGAAGAATTTACATGAAAATGGAGTTTAGTTCCAAGTGGAGAAGCTTTGAGAGATATGCTTTTGCTCGTGATGTCACTGTAAACCTGTAATTTTAAAATATATGACCTTCTTGAAAACTCTGTTACGAATTTCTTTCCAACTTCCCCTTCTTCAAGCCGCACATAAGCATTTAAAAATTAAAGGTTCCTTCATTAAGGCGTCCAATAAGATTCAAAATTCATGGCATTAATTTCCCGATTGAGTGTAGCCTACGAGGTGGCGCGCGATTTTTAGGCGTGGCTGCCTCACGATCACAGCCGTTGTATAAACGTGCAATAACAGAGTATGAAGCAACCCGAAAAAAGATACATCGATAAATCGATAAATGTCGATGAAAGTCAAAGATTCATATAACATCTCGATCGAGTTAAGAACCATGTTTGTTTGGTCGACGTCATGTGTGAACAAAAATTAGTCTGGTTTTCATCGGTCTAGTGCGTAGCGGTAAATTCCTCAGGACATGTTTAGGAGTTAATCCGTTAGATACGAGTCAAGGACTTCGCTTGTTACAAAAACCTTAGCCATCATGTCTGACGAAATTGATTCGACAATCAAAGTTAAATAGTATAGCACTATATTTCTTTTTATGGTAATGTTTTAGCTTTTGCTGATCCAGTCACGGACATACTCACTCTGAGGGAATTTTACCTCAACTATCACAAGACATTGTTTGGCGTGGGGCTTGTGTTCACTATTTTACCGAGTTTGGCGATATCATATCTTTGATATAATGATGAGCCGATCGACTCAATTCCAGGTATTATTTTTGGGTGGAACCATTAGCGCCTACTTATACGCGATTTTTAAGCTTTTTTTTTGTGCTTCAGCAATTTCAAGAAGTTATGCCCCGTATGGCCTGGAGAGTCGATAAAAAACTGTAAAAAACAGATAGAGGGAGGAACAGTAATATTTTACGAGACTTGGTTCGGAATGTTTGAGGTCATCCTGGAACCAGCTCCCCAGTTCATAATCCAACTACATGCAACGATTGTTCAACAAGAACAAGTTTCAACTATTCAAATAATGACACGTAATTTTTTAAGTGCGCATTTTTTGAAGTGGCTGAATTGGAAAACGGGGCATGCTTAGTGTTTGCAGGTTTACCATGGTATTAGTTTGATTCAGTTTACTTCAAGAGCTTTTACATCAGAATTCGTCGAAGTCTTGTTTAGCAGGAACAATGATATGATAATGGCATATGCGTCTCCACACTTCAATATGGTAGACAGCTTAATAACATCAGAGAAATCATTCCTCGTGTAGCATATAATGGATATGGTTTGCTTAAAAACCTGGCAACCTTTCAAGTCGCATGTGTATGAAGATTTCCATGTATATCTCAGTTGCTTGAACGTGTAATATGGCTCAGAATTGAATTCCCTGCCAAAAAAAGTCTACGGTAATTTCCATGTAACGCTTTGGACAAAAGCCGCAGATAATCTTGACCACCAGGTATCTACAGAAATTTCCATACATTTGCTCAAACAGCGAATATGTATTATACATTTACTGCCAAAAGAGTCTATAGAAATTCCCATGCGTTGCTTAAACTTGTTTTGGACAAACGTTGCAGACATTCTTTACCACACAGGTGTCTATAGAAATTTCCACGTAATACTTATCCACCGAGACGAAGATTAAATATTCATTACGTTTTCTGTGAAAAAGAGTCTATAGAAATTTCCATGTAACTTGTACTTTTTCTGGACAAGTTTTCAGACGGCCGAAGTAGTTCGCGACCTCTGACTTAGCTTTTTCGGACGTCTGAGAATCAGGATAAGCCACCTCGTGTCTACAGATCTAATAAATTGTTTATAGCAAAAGAGTCCCATTGAAATGTCCATCTAAATGGTATAACTGGTTTTAAAGCAATCGAAATCAAAAAAGGAAAGACGGATGATGCGTTTCGAAGACATCACTGCTGGCCCTTGTCTAGTCAAATGGGCTAATAGAGGCACTGGCTGAACAGCATCCGATTGATTCAATTGTCGGCTTGTGCTAATTTTAAGAGCATAGTTTGACTTCGCGCGGGACCAAATTTTCCTTTTCTTGGTTTAGAACTTTTCTTAAAGTGTTACTTTGAAGTTAATGGCAAGGACGTAAATAATTCAAAATGATCTGAACAGAAGGTCTCCATGGATATGTTGTTCAATACAATAATAAAAGAAGAAACTCAGTTACTGGAATAATTTGTTAATAATGTCTGATCATTTGAGTAGTATGCACAGCCACAGTGGTGACAACTCAACTCTTACCTTAATCAATACAGTGTCCTTGCCGTCGGCCAGTTTCGGAAAAACGTACTGAATTACGTACTCACGGTCCCGGAACCCCTTTGGGACCTCGGGGACCTCGGGCGCCAGTATCACCCTTTGTTCCAGCTTGACCAGAGGGTCCTAGTGGTCCCTTGGGGCCAGCAGGGCCTTGAGCTCCAGGAGGACCTGCTTTACCTTTGCGGATATTCACGTGGACCCCTTAGTCTATGAGGTCTATTATTTCCAGGTGATCCCGCAGCACCCGCTGGACCCGCGGGTCCCGGGATTCCAGGGATGCCAGGAATTCCAGCTGCACAACACGAATTGTATTTTTAGGGCCTGCTTGGGGATGCTCTAAACGAAGAAAAAGAAAAATGCATCGTTTATTGTTTTGTAATTACAGTCGAAACCCGCTTTACGGACATTTGCTACGGACAACTGACACTTGTTTCTTGTCCAATCAACAGATTCGCATAGAAAGGCAATCTTGTTCAGTAACGCGGTCACTCCATTATCAACTGCGTGCTGTAATAGACCTTTCGTTTTTGAAGGTAAAAAACCTTTAGTTGACGGATATGTCGATGTTTCTTCCCAGCGCTACAGTATCCCGGATGGGATAATTTGTAGACGGAAATTTGACTATTTTGGCATCAAGTGAATTATGCAGTAATATATGGCCTGTGAGCGACTTTTGAGTGTTTGTCCGCCACTTCAGTGCCCGACTATTATTGCGATTTGAGTGCATTGTCTTTTTCTAATATGTAAGACTTTGAAAAACTACGCCGGTTCGTTGACTTCATTGCATGAATTCAAAATAACTTCCTCTACCAACCACCGTATTGAACAACGACTCGATGTCACTTAAAATTTAATTAACCCAGCTCACCTCTGATTTCATTCATTCGCGAAACACAAAGGGATCAGCAACAACAGCTCTACACATAACACAGAGGCCAGTGGTATCTCCACACAGAATAGCAAGGTCAAAGAATCTGTGAACGGAAATATGTTGATCGACAATCATCGATCGCTCAACTATAATGCCTATAGCCGTAGCATGAAGACAATCATGGTCTCTTGAGTATTTTAAACAATACTCAA